ACTATGCTTTGGAAAAATCCATCTGGTTAGGGTACAATTTGGAGAAGAGACACTAAAGAAAGAAAATCAGACCAGGCATGGAAGCTCACACCTATAATCCCAACATGCTGGGAGACTGGAGTGGGAGAATTGCTTGAGATCAGGAGTTTGTGACCAGACTAGGCAACATAGCAAGACAGACCTCATCTCTATGAAAAATTAGCCGGTTATAGTGGTGTGCATCTGTAGTCCCCGCTATTCGGGAGGCTGGGGTTGGAGGATCGCCTGAGTCCAGGAGTTGGAGGCTGCGGTGAACCATGATTGTGCCACTGCACTCCAGCCTACATGACAGAGTGAGACCCTGACTCAAAAAAAGAGAGAGAAATCAGACTTGATCTCAGGCTCTGAATTTCAGTTAAGTAAATCCGCCCCCACCCCCTTCTGCTAAACTTCAAAGACCAATTAGGGATTGTGTTGCTGATATTTAAGAGTCCAGCAGAAGAAAGGAAACAGAATGTCAGAAGGTAATCTGACTTAGAGTGGATCATTATTTCTATACTTTACAAGTGCAGGAGATTGGCCTCAATTTTCAGACTGAATAATCTCTGGAGTTGGGGTAGCCCTTCTGGCCCACAGAGTCAGCAGTATCTTTTTTTTTTTTTTTTTTTTTTTTTTTTTGAGTTGGAGTCTCACTCTTTCCCCCAGACTGGAGTGCAGTGGCCGCTCCCGGCCACCGCAGCCTCGACCTGCTGGGCTCCGGCGATCCTTCCGCGTAACCAGAATTACAGGCGCTCCCTACCACGCCCGGCTAATTTTTTGATTTTATTGTAGAGATGAGGTCTCGCCTGCCCAGGCGGGTCTCGAACCCGCGGGCTCAGGCAATCCACTCACCTCAGCCTCCCAAAGGCGCGGGATTACAGGCTGAGCCACCGAGCCCGGCTAGCAGTATCTTTTTAAAGTGGCTAACAGAGGAATCCTTGGCTCCAGGAGATTAAAAGACAAATAGGCATTACCTCTTTTTTTTTTTTTGAGCCGGAGTCTCTCTCTGTCCCCCAGACTGGAGTGCAGTGGCCGCTCCTGGCCACCGCAGCCTCGACCTGCTGGGCTCCAGCGATCCTTCTGCCTCAGCCTTCCAAGTAGCTGGAACTACAGGCGCGTGCTACCACGCCCGGCTAATTTTTTGATTTATTGTAGAGATGAGGTCTCGCCAAGTTGCCCAGGCAGGTCTCGAACCCGCGGGGCTCAGGCGATCCACTCACCTCAGCCTCCCAAGGCACGGGATTACAGGGTAAGCCACAGAGCCGGGATAGGCATTACCTCTTTTTTTTTGTTTGAGTTGGAGTCTCACTCTGTCGCTCAGACTGGCGTGCAGTGGCCGCTTCCGGCCACCACAGCCTCGACCTGCTGGGCTCCGGCGATCCTTCCACCTCAGCCTTCCAAGTAGCCGGAATTACAGGCGCACGCTACCAAACCCGGCTGATTTTTTTGATTTATTGTAGAGATGAGGTCTCGCTGCCCAGGCGGGTCTCGAACCCACAGGCTCAGGCAATCCACTCACCTCAGCCTCCCAAAGGCACAGGATTACAGGCTGAGCCACTGAGCCCAGCTTGGCATTACCTCTTAAAGCAAAGCTGGAGTGCCCCTGAAGACTTGAGGCTTCATGACTACCCTCTCCCTGTCCTTTGCTGGAACCAGCCGTCCTGTGACTACCTACTGCAATATCAAGGAATGTCTTCTGTCTTAGGAGATGAGGTAATTAAATCCACTTTCCTTAGAGGAAAACAGACCAAGAAGAAGAAACATTTTGCCTTAGCCTGTGTATGTCAGGCATTGCTGCCCTTGTGTATGGAAACTGTCCGTAACGTCCCCTACCCCATGCTTATTGGCAGGCATCATACCCTCAGCAGGGCACTGGATCCAACCAGAGCAGCTGGAAATGGTGAAGAGAGGCTTTAGTCCCGGCAACACATCTGCCTGCATCTGAAGGCAGGAACATACCCAAGAAGACAGCAGAGCTAACCTAAAGTAAGTGGGAAGGAGATGTTGGCATCTTCAGGAAGCCTTGTCTGTGCCCTAACCCTTTGCAGTGGACAAGCACTTTCACATCTTTTGACTTTTACAACTTTACCATGTTAATGAGATGCTAATATCACCACTTTACAGAATAAGAAGCTGCTGAGAAAGGTGAAGTGAGTTGTTCCAAGATCACAAAACTGGCACTAGAAGTCAGGTCCCCTGAAGCTGGTCACACCAGACATTCCCAATTCTCTTGGCCCTACAGTTGGCCTTGGAGCTCCCTCTCTTCTCAGGACTTGATTCTGTTCTTGATATGTCAACTGTCACTGACATATCAACTGGAAAAGAGTTCAAATTTCCTGGCGTCTGTCTCATGGGGAGGCAGTGGCCCACTCATGATCACCACAGCCTCTACCTGCGAGGTTCAGCTGATCCTTCCGCTTCATTCAGCCTTCCAAGTAGCTGGAACTACAGGCTTACGCCACCATGCCCAGCTAAATTTTTTTATTTATTGTAGAGACAAGGTCTTGCCAAGTTGTCCAAGGTGGTCTCGAACCCAAGGCCTTGGCAATTCTCTCACTTCCACCTCCCAAAGTGCTGGGATTACAGGCATGAGCCATTGCACCTGGCCCCAGTAAATATTTTGTGTGTGTGTGTGTGTTTTTAGTTGGAGTCTCACTCTGTCACCCAGGCTAGAGGACACTGGCATGCTCCTGGCCTCTGTAACCTCCCAAGTAGCTGGAACTATAGGCACGCACCACCATGCCCGGCTAATTTTTTTTTTAATTTATTGTAGAGATGAGGTCTCGTCAAGTTGCCCAGGCTGATCTTGAACCACAGGGCTCAGGCAATCCTCTCACCTCGGCCTCCCCAAGTGCTGGGATTATAGGTGTGAGCTACCACATCCAGCCCCCCAGTAAATATTTTAAACACTCATTATGTGAAAGGCACTGTTGTAGATGCCAGGGATACAGCAGAAGACAAAAAACATGGCCCTGATGCCAGTGAACTTACATTTTAGTAGAGGAGAAAGACAATGAACAAGTAAATAATTAGGTAATTACAGACTATATAGTAAGTGTTATGGAATATAATGACAGAGGGTACAGGAGGGTGTCTGAGGCCTAAATAAGGAGCCAGGCATATTCCAGGCAGAGGCAACAGCATGTATAAAAACCCTGAGTGTGAACAGTTTGATGAGGCCTGAGCTAGGTTAGGAAGTGGAAATGGTGAGAAGTGATGAATTAATGAATGTTTAGAAGGAAGAATAGAAAGGACAGACTGAATGCTGATAGAGGTGCCACCTGCTGCATTAGGGCATTCAAGAGGAGAAGCAGGTTTTAGAGCCAGGCATTTCCCCTCTTCTGGGCTCTAGTTCCCATCTGTACAATAGGTTGAACAGACTATACTAAAAAACAAGCGTAGTGCTAGTTCTTAAGAATGTTATGATCCTCACACCTCTTGAATTCCAAATGGATTAAACATTGCAATTTAGAAATAAGCCCTAGGCCAGGCACGGTGGCTCACATGTGTAATCTCAGCATTTTGGGAGGCCAAGGCAGGAGAATCACTTGAGCCCAAGAGCTGGAGACTAGCCTAGGCAACATAGCAAAGTCCTGTATCTACAAAAAAAATTTTTTAATAGCCCTAAAAATAACAGGAAAAAACCATGGGAGATTTTTATCTCAAACCTCATAGTAAGGAAGGCCTTTCAAGTTACAATACAAAATCCAGAATCAGAAAAGTAAAGGATGGACAAATTTGATCCCATAAATGTCTAATGTTTTTGCATAGCAAAAACACTCTAGGCAAAAGTCAAACAACAAACTGAGAAAAAATATTTGCAACTTATTTGACAGCTGATTTTCCTACTATATAGTGAACTCCTATGAATCAATAAGAAAAATAGGCAAAGCATATAAACAGACACAGATGTAATCCCGCACCTTTGGGAGGCTGAGGTGAGTGGATTGCCTGAGCCCGCGGGTTCGAGACCCGCCTGGGCAGTGAGACCTCATCTCTACAATAAATCAAAAAAATCAGCTGGGCGTGGTAGCACTTGCCTGTAATTCCGGCTACTCGGAAGG